ATTCGCTGAACATTACTTCACTTTTTAATTTTAATTTTCTAAGCGATATACGTATGTTAGCTTTAGCAATGGATATAAAGAAATGAAGTTGTAAATTAAGATAAATCTATATAGTTTGCATATATACCTAAATTTTATCATTATTTATATTTATAACATAATGAAGTTAAGTGATTAGTTATCATATACCACGTATGATTAAATGTGATAATTCTATTAAAAAAATGTGATAATTCTATCATTCATGTTTGTTAATGTATATGTATACATGTATTTTATACACACAAAAATACAATATTACTTATCATATTTATGCAAAATATAGATAAAAATGCAATTTCTATGTTTCCGACTAGTCCCCGACTAGGCGCCCGCCTAGCCGCCTAGGCGCTAGGCGTTGGGCTGACGCCCGACTAGCGCCTAGCGCCTCTTAGAACATTGTCTGTAGTTGATCCCCAAAACAGAATTTTTTTAGGAAAAAAGAATTCCTAGACCCCTCTGCAAACAAAAAATTTACCAAAATAGAATATTTTCAGAAAACATATTTCCCATAAAATCCCCCCCCCCCCCCCTCCCCCCAAACAATTTTTATCGTTGGTTCATAACACTTACTTTCTTTACACTCACAAAACTTCTGAGCACTTTGTAGTACAAGTTGAAGACATATTGAGCCTACAAAATATGATCTAAATGAGCTTAGAGATAAACCATGCGTTCTTCTGAGGAGACCGACATATATTAAAAAAACATTTTACGAATTAGTGGGTGGCCTTAAAAAATCGGCGATAAGGAGTTGACACGGAATAAAAAAAGATTTGCTAAAATAAGGGCAACGTGAGCGAGAGTAGGCGGTTCTTAATAGGTCTTAGACCTCATATGCTCGATATTTAAACTAAATATATGTTGATGACACTTTTATAAGTATATGACATTGTGCGATAATTTGAGGATAATAGAATGTCTTATTTGACCTTTTTTTTCCCAAGTCTGTTTTTGTTCACCCCCTTTAGAGAGGGTGGACATTACCTCCTACCTGCAATGCTTACCATTTAGCATATCTAACTCTTTTTGTTAAAATTGTTATAACATTTTTTTGTAGTTCAATTATTACCAGGGGAGGATCTATGTTAGGGTTAAGGTAGGCTGAAGCCCAGGGCAAAGTACAAAAAATATTAAGGTATTTTTTTTGAAAATTTTCATCTAGCCCACTCCAAATTTTTTTATAGCCCACCTCAAATTTTTCTATAACCCAGTTCATTTTTTTTAGCCCAGCCAATTAAAAACAAAATTTTACATTGAATGCTACTACTAGGCTAAAAAACAATTCAGCCCAGTCCACTAAGCTAAAAACTAGTAGACCCAAAGCCCAAATCCAATGAAAACAAAAGAAATCTAAAAGAGTAATTGGCTAATAAGTACTCCCTTCGTCCCGCTAAGATTGTCTCATTTTACTTTTTCGGGAAGTCCCACTAAGATTGTCTCTTACCAAATTTGGTAAACATTGTGTGGCTCTAAACCATTCTTACTTTATTCTTACTTAATCAGTTTAATATCAACCACACAAACTCACTTTTCTTAATAACTGTGCCACCTTCTCTCGTCCCAATCTTAGTGGGACGGAGGTAGTAATAAGCGGGAAAGGGAAACTCCTGACTCCCCATATCCGCAAGCGGCAAGGCCAAGGAGGCAGCAATTCGGCGATATTCTACAGTTGCGGCACCGCACCGTCTACACTCCGACCTTCTGTGGACCACGCCTCCACTCGGCGGTCTCAGCCACTCCTCTAGCCTCCAGCGGGCATATCAATACAAGAAGGCTGATTGACATGTTCAAGAGTCTGATTGACATGTTCACAGCAAATTGCAAAGTGCTTGAGTATCTGCAAGAACATTGCCCAAAAGTGAGTTCTCGGGTAGAAGTTCGTGGTGTATATAGGCACTTTGCATGTTTTGAATTTGTGTTCAGTTTACTTTTGATGCACAAAGTAATGGGAATAACGAGTACTCTATGTCAAGGGCTTAAAAAAATCATTGGACATCTTGCTAGCTATGAGACATGTTTCTACAACCCAACTCATTCTTGGAGAATTGAGAGAAATGAGTGGGAAGACTTTCTTGAAGAAGTAAATGAGTTTTGCTCAAAACATGAAATTCATGAACCGGACTTGAATTCTAAATATATGGTTGGTCGTTGCCGCAAAGAAACTACAATTGAGCATCATTATCACTTTGATGTTTTCAATGAGACAATAGACTTTGTGTTGATGGAGTTAAGAACCCGGTTTAATGACAAATCAGTGGAACTCCTTTCTTTGAGTGCTTCATTGGATCCCAAAAATTCATATGAGTCATTCAATGTTGATGCTATTTCTACTCTTGCAAGGAAGTTCTATCACGAAGATTTTAATAGTCAGGATATTCTACCTTACTCTTAGTATAGATGTAGACTCTATTGTTGACAAGTTTTTTGCTTCAAAGCCTCGTTGATGACAAATTTAGTGAAAAAAAAATCTTATATTTGATATTTTTCTTATTTTGAAAATTTTCAATGTAGTATTATTTAAGTGTTTTAGCCCAGCCCAACATGAAATCCTAGATCCACCCCCTGATTATTACAAAAAGTATCAAATTTAATACGGAGTGATATTTTATGATCTCTCTAACTGTATCGATCAGTATTGTATATAAAAAATTGTAAAAAGCTATTTTTAATCACATCTATAGAAGCAATATAATTCGATGATCCATTAATGGGCACAAATGAGCCAAAGATGGTTACCGCAATCCTCTTATCACCCCTATCCAAATTCATCGTCTTACAATCACGAAAAACAACAGTAAAACAAAACACAAAGCAAAGGAAATTGTCGCTAAAGAAAAAAATAAAGCAAATAAACTTGAAATTCTGCCCGAGACTGCCTAGCCAAATGAGCACCCTTGTCTTCCGTGTCCATGCTGTCAGAAACTGCTGTGGAGGGCTTACATATCGAAGCCCACCCCCGCCCCGTTTTTTGTCCCATCCAGTGCCATGTTATCTTCTCCATTCTGTCCTTCTTCCTGGGTTTCACATATCCTTCTTCTCTTTTGTTCCCCTGAAGTTTCTTATTTTGTTTCCACGCCTTTTGTGATGCTCTGTGCTGATTCTGATATAGTCTCTTTCTCCCCTCCATCTTGCTTATCATCAGACTTGAGATCCCCCATATATCTGTGGTCCCTGCCAGAGCTCGATGAACCCTCCAACAACCACTTGTTCTCTCCTGTGGGACTAGTCTTCACCCCAACCCCTGCTTTTAGTTGGACCCCAACCGGTATTCCAGAACGAGATCTTCCTTGTAATTTAACAGGCAAAACTTATCTGAATGTCCTATTAACCCACATATAAAGCATAAATTGGGCAATTTCTCATATTTAAAATCCACCCAAAAACCTTTTCCTTCTTTTTTCAGATTAGTACCCTTTTTCAGAGGCTTATCAACGTTCATACACACTCTAATTCTCATATAAGGGTCAAGTTTCTCCTTTTGCAGATTATCATCATAATTTATAAATTTCCAATAAAATTTCTCACTCTCCTTGCAGTGCCTAAATTCACCAGGCTATATGGAACGTTATGAACTTGGACAAAAGAATCAGCCTCATTTAACACAATCTTATGTGGAATATCATCAGGTTTTACCTCTTTCAACAACAACAGATTATGCTCAAATTGCCAAGAACCTCCCTCAATAACACGATTCATATCAAAACGATGATTGAAAGCAAAGATACACCTTTTCACCCAATTCTTTGAACGACATACCTTTTCCCGGCCGCCATAGTGAAACCATGAGTTCCTTGAGGGCTGAAAATTTTACCTTCCTATCTGTTAGTAGTACCCCCACCACCGGAAACCCTGGGTTTTGTTCCTCCATCGGACTCTCCTCTGCATCTCCCCCATCCAGGTCCAACTCATCTTCCTCCGTGCCGATCGCCATATGTTTATACTTGTCCACAACCTTCCATTCAATCCTTGCTGCTGTTTATACTGCCGAGCCCGTCTCCTCGTGATCAATGACAACCCCAAAACCTGAACTGTCTTCTTCCAGTCCCGAGACAACGTCTCGTGAACACCGACCCCCTCCAAACTTCAAAGCTCAGCGCCCACTACTAGGCAAAGAAGAACAAAAAAGCGAGACTACACAACAGAGCCCGAAAGACCGAAGCCACACCCCCAATCGGCTAGCCGTCGGTGGCGGAGAGATCGAAGATAGGCGTTATCGGGAGGGTAACCCTAAAGAGAGAAAATCCGTTATACTCCGTATTTTGTTAGAAATTGAAGTATAAATTAAAAGTAAGATAAAAGGGGCAAATAAGCCCACGTTCGTACTAACAAAAAAAGGTCAAATAAATTCTTATATAGGAGACTTTGTCCGGCCGTGGCCATTTGGGGTGGTTCTCAGTGGAATTTTTTAATGAAATTTTTTGAGCATCTTATTCATTAAGTCTAGTTTACTCATACCAAATTTCAGCTAAAACTTCGATCAGGAAGACATTCAAATGAATTCTTGAAGATAATTGCGCGGTTAAAAGCGCAATTATCTTCAAGAATTCATTTGAATGCCTTATCGATTGAATTGTTACCTGAAATTTGGTATGAGTAAACTAGAGTTAATGAATAAGATGCTCAAAAAATTTCACCAAACAATTCCCCTAGGAACCGCCCCAAATGGAGACGGCCGGACAAAGCATCCTATATAAGAATTTATTTAACCTTTTTTATTAGTACGTGAGCTTATTTGTCCCTTTTCTGTCTAAAAAATAAGATTTGTCAAAAATGAATTGAAATGCCGGTAACGGATAGAGTGGGTGAACATCTTCAACAAAATTGATTTATTTTCCGGAAAAATCTGTTTGTACCCATTATTGTACCCATTTTTGTACCCACCATGTTTGTGAGGAGTTTTTTTTTGTCTGTGAATCCCGGTCATAGACAAAAATATGTCTATGAAGACATGTTGGGTACAATAGTGGGTACAACAAGAAGAATCTTTATTTTCCTCCCTAACTGCCGAAGTGAAGCAGTTATCTGGAGGAGCCAAAAACCATCGATGCCAGACGGGGAAAAAAATGAATTCTATCGTAGATGCTGAAAGCCAGTAATCACATACTCCGTATATCACAAAAGTAAAGCAATTCTTTTTTCTCATAGCTCTTTTATAGCCTCTTTCTCTTTCGCTTTTACAGTTTCTCTTAATTTTTATTTTCTATGGAATAAAAATCAGCAATGTATATTGCATGTAGTTAAATAGATTATTCTTATATTTTGACCTCTGAATTTTCATTTGGAAAAAGTGAAATGTGAAACTTAAATCCGAGCAGGTTGGCAGGCGAACCCTGAAATCTCCGGCCACCGAATAAACAAACACCGCCTGAATCCTAGACATTAGTTGTGCTGCTGTAGTAGTGGACAAAAGGACAATGGCAACAACGAAAGCGCCTGGTACCGCAGCTGTACCCAAGTCGGAAGCCATTTCCAAAGGCTACAACTTTGCTTCTACCTGGGAACAGGTGTTCTTCAATTGTATAACTTCTGTTTAATCCTAACCCCCCAATAGTATTATTGATTGCCCGAATGCGGTGACAATTACTGAAATTTGATTAGATCCAAGCATTTGGCATTGTACAGTTCCTTGCAAATTTGCTATACAATTTCGATGCACGTTCTGTAGCTTTATTTGGATCTGGTTCTCCTACTCGTTTGATCCAGTCGAATATAATTCTGTTTCTCATCATATCAATGTTGGATAATTCAGATGCACGATCATAAGTTTATCACTTCATAATTGACTAGAAGCTTAGTTCTGGGTTTGGATGCTGCACATCTCTTGGAAAATTTTGCACTTGCGGCTTATGTTGTTGCAGTTTGTTTAGCATTTCTTTTGTTGGTTTATACATGAGAGCGAAAAATAAATTTTCCATTTTTTGTGATCTTAACACTGCATTCTTGAAGGGGGTCACTAATCTTTTCTCTTATAGAATGCTCCATTGACGGAGCAGCAGCAAGCTGCCATTCAGTCACTTTCTCATGCTGTTTCAGAGCGGCCTTTTCCTGCCAATTTGGTGAGATTATGGACCTACTAAATGTATGTTGTAGATCAACTGCTGTACGTTCCATGTTTATTGATCATTAAATTGCACAGTTCACCTTTAGTCTCAGGACCATGCTATTGGACACCACAATGGATTCTCAAATTCAGAAAAGCAAAGTGCAGTAGAGGATGGCAGGGTCATTGAGACTGTCTTGGTCAATGCCAACCAGGTGAGAAATCTGTTTGTTCTCAGATCTTCAACTAGTATGCATAAATAAAATCTTGAGCTCATCATCCTAACCAAAAGTGCTGCTTGAAAACCTTACCATACTGTGCTCTGTATAATTTATTTTAAAACAGTTCTACAAATGGTTTATGGATCTTGAAGCAGCCATGAAATCAGAGGTCAGCCTTACCACGTTTTGGCCCGTTCCTTTTGTAGTGCAACATGTTTCACATGGCTTCCACTTAGCCTGCTTTTATTCTGTGCTTTAGACAGAGGAGAAGTATCAGCATTATGTGCATAACTTGACTGAGCAGATACAAACATGTGATGGAATACTGCATCAGGTAAAGTGGAGTCGTGGAGATACACATATGGATAAAATAGGCAGATATTTGTTCACTGTAAAACATTGACTGACATTTAGGGCCTTTTCTGCCTTGTTAGTATATTGGTTTTCTGAAGTCTTACTTTTAGGTGGATGAAACACTTGAATTCTTCAATGCACTACAAGTGCAACATCAAGCAGTCGCAACAAAGACAAAAACTCTTCATGATGCATGTGACAGACTGGTAATCCTTCTCTTGGACTTAAAAACTTTCAGAAGTTTTTTGCATTTTTTAATTTATAGACCAAAAGAAGGACTTGAGATGGATATAGAGGACACATAAAAATTCTGAAAACCTGAAGATTATGCCTATTTGAATTGTTTCTTGTGAGTGAGGAATGCTGAGGAAATCTCAAAATTTGATATACAACATTTGAAAGTTCCCTATGTATTGCCATAAGGAGTAACTATTGTCTTATCTGTTCCTTTCTGTCCCCAAACAATTTGTTTCACAGACAGTAATGCTTTACATCCTTATTCCAAACGATAGGTAAATATAAAGTTTCCAGGATTCAGAAATGTTACTTTCATGTCAAGCTGATAAACTTGGTTGATGCACATCCCTTCCCCCCCTATTATATTAGGCTTTGGGTGAAAATTCTCACCCCCTGCAAAACCCAAAACAAATCAGAGATACTCTATGTTTCAACATTCAAACTGGGATGCTGTATTGATAGTTAAATTTGTTTATTGTTTCATATATTTCCTTGTATTAAATTAAGCTGTAATATTTAGAGATCGTAGCATAATAACTAGGCATGACACATCTCCTTTTACTTTTGCAGCTGATGGAGAAGAAGAAACTAATTGAGTTTGCAGAATCACTTCATAGTAAGCTCAGCTATTTTGATGAATTGGAGAATGTAAGTTTCACTTCTATTGTCATGAATCTCATTTCATAATTTATTGCTGCTTTATGAGGGAAATAGGTGTGAGTTACATATTGATAAGTTCAATTATACACAGTTTTATGTCATATACTCAAATATGGCTAAGGTGAAGTTGATAATGAAGTCTGATGCTTATCAACAAATATTCTAATGTTGAAGTATTTGCTAGTTAGAACCATGCCCAATAAGATGTTTCCATACTGTAATAAAAGAGGAACATCAACAACATCCAAGTCTTATTCCCAAAAGAGTGGGGTCAGCTAACATGAATCAACATATGCTATCAGAGTTACATAGCGATAATCATACTTCAATTCATGTCATGAGATGTGACTAAGTTATACTATTGGCCATCATCCACTTACCACAACGCCCTTCTCCTTTATCCTGGCTTGGGAAAGGCATGAAACCAAACAAACGGTCTCATGATGTAGTTAATAGAAGAGAAATCAAACTTTAAAATGTAAAGTACTTATTAATTATAATTAACTTGTTGCTAATGTGTAACTCATTTACAAAAATGTTAAAGTTACTCCTAATTTTAGTAACCCCGCTTTCTCGATATGCTTTGTGCAGGTTGCTACCAGTTTTTATTCTCCTAGTATGAGTGTTGTAAACTCAAATTTTCTTCCCTTGCTCAAGAGACTAGATGAGTGTATTTCGTAAGTTACTTCATTGACAAAAAGTCAAATACTCTTACTGTATTGGCATTTATGAATAGATATAATCAATACATGAATGGTCATGTACTGCACATACTGTCATACCTTCCTGGCTTACTCATTATCATGATCACCTTAGTTCAAACATATTGGGGTTGGCGATATGAAGCACTATAGTCTCAAGTAATTGTCTATAATTAGTTACATAGCAGCAGTTACATCCTGTTTGTTACTCCCTTCGTATTTTAAGGATTGCTACATTAGGCTCTGACACATTATTTATGCAGGAAATATTAGGGGTAATGAATAGTGTAGAAATTGTAAGAGAGATGGTGGAAAAGTATGAAAGAGAAGATAAAAAGTAGAAAAAGTAATGGTAATTGAGTATTTTTGAAGGAAAAACTTACCAAAAAGGGAAAAGTGTAGCAAACTTTTAAATACATCCTAAAAAGGAAAGCGTAGGCGTAGCAAACTTTAAAATACGGAGGGAGTATATCCGGAGTCATGTTTACTCTCCATATCTCTGTGCCATGGGCGATGATAGCAATTGAGAATTTGAGGTGGCCATATTCATATGAAGGTGTCACATCAAATTTCTTGAATCTAATTCTCTTCAGTTTGAAACTAGTTGACACTTGACAAGTTCCGTCAAGGCCTTTCAAGTGTTATAAGATTGTAGAGTGCATGGTTCCCATGGCATATGATTTATCCGGGTGAGAGATTTAGCTTCAACTATTCATTGATAAATAAATGTTATTTTGTTTTTCTTGTTGGCTTGATTGTAGCTATGTTGAGAGTAACCCACAATATGCTGAATGCAATGTATACTTGGTCAAGTTTCGACAACTTCAGGTACATGTGAGAGTATGATTTTTCTTGTAGTGAATATTATAGAAAAGTAAAATTTTAAATAAAGAAGTGTTTGTATGCTTCTAACATTCCATTGTCCTCATTCTTCATTTTGCAAGTCTCGAGCTCTTGGTATGATTCGAGCACATGTCCTTTCTGTTCTTAAAAGCACCTCTTCTCAGGTACAACTCATTTGGGCTTGTTGTGTATGCATATTGTATTCTTTTATTCTCAGTGGACCTCTACAGATAGTGTAATTAATTACAATAGGTGCAAGCTTCAATTAGAAGCAGTGGTGGTAGCAATGCAGTTGTTTCTGAAGGAGTAGAGGCATCTGTAACTTATGTTCGCTTCAAAGCAGCAGCAAATGAGGTATATTGTGTTACACAGTTACTATCAGTAAAGGAGCTAAAATTGGAACAATGTTTTACTCGAATGGGGAGAGCAACAGGTCTTCATTTTCTGCAGCTTAAACCAGTGCTGGAGGAAATTGAAAGTAGAACACCTAGAAAAGAGTATGTTCAAATTCTTGAAGAATGCCACAAAATTTATTGTGAACAACGACTTTCCTTGGTGAGCAGATAGTTGCCTTCATATACGATTACTGCATTTCTGGTTTGGGTCAGATTGCTCTTTGACAAGTTCTGTGGTCAAATCTTTTCTTTTGACGAGTAGCTACTTGCATCGTATTCCTCAGATAAGAAACATAGTGCAGCAGCGAATCTTTGAGTTCTCAAAGAAGGAGGCATTATCATCACTGACTAGATCTGGTTGTGCATATCTAATGCAGGTATTTTACTTGCCACAATAAATAAAATACGCTTGCAGGTAGTTTACATGATTTAGCCATTTATCTATTTGCAAGTATCTATTTCTAGTTTTCTACCAATTCGATTAAAATCATTTTTTTGGAAGTCATACTGATTTGGAATGGGTCAATTATGGATAAGTTTATGTTATTCTTCAACAGTAATTGAAGCTCTAAAGTGCAGGTCTGTCAGCTTGAGCATCAACTGTTCAAACACTTTTTCCCATCATCTTCAGAGAATATTTCAAGTTTGGGTCCTTTAACAGATCCTTTGTAAGTTAGCTTGATTTTCTTATGGAGTTTCTTCATCTACAACCCCGCTTTCGATAAAGTCAAGGGAGGAAGGGAATGAAATCTCTTAACTAGGTCAAAATATTATCAAATCTATCTTACCTAATGATAAATGTTTGAACACCTAAACTGTTCACTAGGGAAAATTTCAAAAAGGAGGAAAGTTGTCAGTAAGTTAAGTAATTTATGATCTGGCAATGATCTTGACGGTCACACTTTAAAATTGTTTAATTAGTGTGACCTTCTTCAAGATTTATAATTTGGAAACTTTCTAGTACTTCTAGTTTGTGTAAGCATATATTTCGACAAACTAGTATAACATGGATCCAACCATGTAGTATGTGTGGTATAATGTCCAATTATAGACGATTACCAGAGTGTGTTGACTTGCATGATGATGCTTCTGTTTCTCTTTTCTATTGTTAATTTTTTTCTCCACTCACATTGTATTCAAGAGTTGATTCCTATGCTCTTAATTAAGACGGCCAAAATGGATAGCTAGGCGCCTATTAAAATTAAAATGAACGGAACCCAATGAATATTAGCAACCAAAAGGTTTTTAACTTGTCAAATAACTTGAAAAACTGTTGATTTAATAAGTTAGATGAAGCGGATATTTGGATGGGTACGGAAAAAATAGGCTCTTTTGGAATGCATTTGCAGTTTTTTTAAAAGTGGGTTTCCTCTTAAATAGCTACAAAGATGTTTTCATGATTTACAGTTTGATCCAACTTATAAGAAGATAAGCTCTCATATAGCTGTGACAATCAGTTGCACAATATAATCCTAGTACCTCCACCTGGGCTTTCATGATTATGAAAAGTTGCTTTATCACTCATACCATTGTATAAATACTGCAATAGTATATCTTTTCCTTATCCTATGACTACCTTTTAATAGTATTGGCATTCCTTATGTACTGTTCCTTTTGCAATCACTTTAAGTAGGGCGCCACATATTGCAGGTGTACATACTTGTATGATACATTACGGCCAAAACTTATCCATGAAAAAAATCTTGATGTCCTCTGTGAACTGGTTGATATCCTTAAAGTTGAAGTTCTAGGAGAACAAGTGAGCAGGCGTGGCGAATCATTAGCTGGGTTGCGCCCAACAATAGACAGAATTTTAGCAGATGTTCATGAACGATTAACTTTCCGTGCTCGTACATATATTCGTGATGAGGTAGATGTCTCTGTTACATTCAAATTATGCATTGACATTGTACATTCAACCAGTCTATCGCTCTTTTCTAATACTCCAAGACATTTTAATGTTCATTCACTGAATATATGCTCACTATGCACTATCATCAAAAGCGTATTGCAACCCCTTAAGATTTTTAAGTCTTCAACAGATTGCAAATTATTTTCTTTCGGATGAAGACTTGGACTACCCTAGAAAGTTGGAGCAATCAGCTGAAACAAATTCAGAATCGAATGTAAGTGCTTTAATGTTTCCCTACTAAACATTTGTACATTCCAAAAGTAACATGGAGCGATCTCCCTGTCCTAAACATTTTCTTTATTCTGATTAGGCAGCTTACTGTTTGCTGCAAATTTTGATGCGCCAATTAACTCTGTTATGATGAGGTGCTAGAGCAGAGTGCCACCTATAAAAGTAGTCTTGACTCTTGATGTTACTTGAGTAAATCTGAATCCTTTCAAATGAAATTTGGTCTCTTTTCAGTCACAGTGACCAAAGTGAACAAGGAAGGGGACACTGCTCAGACCTGATACATAGATTGCTAAAACTGAAAATACAGTGATACCCCATCCCCCTATATTTGCTTCAAATGCTTATAAAAGAATAATTTTAAAGTGTAAATTGACTAGATCTTACAATTGCATTATAGTACGGAGTAACTTTCTATCTGCAAAAATCAACTGCAGGATGAGCAACATGCAATCAAATTGTGGTACCCTCCCTTGGAGAAAACCATATCATGCTTGTCAAAGCTGTATCATTCTCTAGAACCAGCCGTGTTCACTGGTTTGGCACAGGTAAGTAGGTAGTTTTTTTCACTGCACTTCTTCTTGATAGTATTTCTCTATATAATTGTGTACGTTTATATTTTTTCATCAGGAAGCAGTAGAAGTGTGTTCCCTATCCGTTCAAGTAAGCCACACTTTTCACTTACATAGTTTGGTTTTAACCTAAGTAGCATGGAACAACAAACGAGAAATGTAAATATAAAAAAGTACAAGATAAAAAAGCTTGCGCGTAAATATAAAAATATTGGGACGTTTTTCGAAAGTGTTTTCAAAAAAGTTTTGCAAATATGTGTGCTTGTGTTATACATTTCGCTAGTTAACAACACTATGTTAAAGTGTAATTCATTTTCAGTAACAAACTGTGCTGTGAAATGTCAAAATTTTCATTTTGATATGGACTACAAATATCCATTAAGGAATTTCATGAAAATCACAATTGTTATCAAGTATCAACATATCCCATCATCATCATTCATCATCATTACCCCAGTGCCTCAAAGGCTCCCACCTTCGGTGGGGTAAGGGTGGGTCGGATGTACGCAGTCTTACCCCTATACTAAAGCACAGAGAGACTGTTTCCGGATGACCCGTAGTGAAAATACCGTCAAAAATTGCATGGACTGTGCATGGTCTTACTGCTGCTTCATAACAAAGAAGCGCAGACAGTTTAGTGAGCCATTTTGCTTTATTCCATCATATTCCCAAGCCAAAAAATAGTGAGTCTGGCTCCATTGCAAATGATGGAAAATATCAACATATCCCATCAAAAAGGTAAAATGTGATGCCATAATATTTCTAATATGTTGACTATATAGGAAAACAAGTCCCCAATTTTTTAATTACAGAAACGGCCGTAAACAGGAATTTGGAGTTACTTTCCAAGATTCTGAAACGTGTCCTAGTTTCCAAAAAGGCCAAACGTATGCTGTATGGAGTTTCCGTGCTTCTTAGATTTTAACTAATATTTAGTGTCTGAAACATACAGAGGAATATAATGTATTCATTGGGTGATGATCACATGGCTAACTTTTCAACACTAGATGAAACAAGAGGCACATAGGACTGTCTTCCTATAAATTATACTACCTCCGTCCCCCTAAGTTTGGGACAAAGGGGTGTGGTGTGATTTTCAAGAAAAAGTAGAATTGTGTGGTTGGTATTGAATTGATAAAGTGTGAATAAAGTAAGAATGAATTCTAGCCACTCAAACATTACCTAATATAATATGGGACAAACTTAATGGGACGGATGAAAAAGGCAAAACAGGACAAACTTAGGGGGACGGAGGGAGTAATGCTCAATTTTATTGTCTCCCTAGCATAACTCTTTGTGATAATTGGTCTTCGTGAAGTTTGCATTGCAGTTCATTCTAGTCTGCATTCTGATTGCCCTAACACAATTTTTTTGTTTCAGAAAGCTAGCAAACTCATTATAAAAAGAGCATCTCCAATGGATGGTCAATTGTTCCTCATAAAACATCTTCTTATCCTAAGGGAACAGGTAATCTTCTGGAATTTAATCTAGACATTCCATATATAACTTTCACATTTGGAAATGAACATTTTTTCTTCCAGATTGCGCCATTTGATATTGAATTTTCGGTGACGCACAAGGAGCTTGATTTTTCACATTTATTGGTCAGCAACAAAGTTTTTCTTTCCTCCGGAATTATTATCTGATTTTTGTCATCATATTTTGACTAATGCACTGCTTTTTTAAAAGTAAATGCCTAAACTCTATTGCTTTATGTCCAGGAACAACTCAGACGGATTCTTAGGGGACAAGCATCAATATTTGATCTATCAAGATCAACATCATTGGCAAGGACATTGTCTCCACGAGTATTGGAAAGCCAAGTTGATGCCAAAAAGGTATTTTACTCAAAAAAAAAAATAGTGAACCATGTTGGGATTGTGTTTGAGACTAGTTATTTGTTGAACACTGTGTCATGTGGTTGTGTCTATCCCATTATAGGAACTGGAGAAAAGCCTAAAAACAACATGCGAGGAGTTTATTATGTCGGTGACTAAACTAATTGTGGAGCCCTTGCTTTCTTTTGCTACCAAGGTTGGTTCAACTCTATTTCTTCATGCGATGAGTAGAGAATGAGTGCACACACATAAATATTATAGGAATCGGGAATTAAATGTTTGGTCACAATAATGAAATCTGAAATTGACCCAATTTTTAAGTCAAAATGCAATGAGTTGGTCACAACTAGACCTGTGCTTGTCTCTTCTCAGCAGTTTTTTTAAAATAAGGGTTGTCAGAGCAATGCAACCAGCAGCGAACTGTATAAAAGCAAGATGGTGATGCTGCTCAGCTGCTGCTTCTGATAATACTCATCGTTTAGATAAGACAAAGGCTCCTTTTGGTAGCCTGTTCTGCTTATTGTGCAAATCAGCAGAGTAAGTAGCTTTTGACCTTTTTATTTGGCTGAAATAAATGTTACCAAAGGTTTTTTACAACAACATTACCTCAGTGCCTCAAAGGCTCACCTACGGTGGGGTAAGGGGGAGTCGGATGTATGTAGCCTTACCGAATGTTTTTAGTTCTAAAAAATTCTGCAGTTTCAACCAAATGATGCTTACCATATGGCCCCGTGTTTCATTGCCCAAGAAAAGATCTTTAACTAAGGATATAAAAAATGAATGTGAAGGTTACTGCTGTTAAAGTTGCATTGTCTGGTAGTCAAAATCAAAAGTTTGAGTCTGCTATTGCAAAGCCGCTCAAGGATCAAGCATTTGCTTCTACAGAAAAGATTGCCGAAATTCTTCAAAAGGTACATATATCCTTATTTCCCTACTTCATTAATTTTATTTCAATTATTTATCCCATTGATCCCTCGAGAAACAGTATAGATTCTTACCTTCTATCTTCTTAACCAGGTGAGTGCAGCAACTGATCAAGAATTGCCTATGGTGTTGGCTAAAATGAAGCTTTATCTACAGAACCCATCTACTCGATCAATACTTTTCAAACCAATAAAGTAAGATTTATGTTTTGATCATATTTTTATTCCTCCTAGCAATTTGGGTTCAGTAAAAAAAGGTGTTTTGCTTGCATCTTTCTATGGAGATTTTAGTGGGCTTGTGTGGTGTTGTTTCTATTCTTTGCAGGACAAATATTATCGAAGCACATTCTCAAGTATTGTCACTCCTCAAAAAAGAGTATTCACCGGAGGATATACTAAATGTTGTGAATACGGTCTCGATTGAAGACTTGGAAGTAAAACTTGACAGCCTCCTATAGTTTTCCCAGATCTGACACACAAACACTGTTTCATTTTCTTTCTTTCTATTTCCAATTTTAGTGGTCTGGGGCATCAGATTTGAATGTCTGTCAAATGTTGGAACTTTCCAGTGAGCTTGATTGACACTCTAAGCCTTGCTGCTTCATATATAGATGAATTCAATAATTGAAAATATGATATTGCATTTTGAGCTATTTGTTAAAAAGTGCCATTAGAGGTTGTCGTTCTCAGACTGAATGTAAGCATTTGAACTATTGTATACACATAATTGTGACGCCTTGAAAAAGACAATAAATATGCATGACTGTCAATAGAGCAAGGAATGTTACTTGATTTGGTTCAGAAACAAGCTGTTACATTTGACTTTATTCTTCTGTTAACACTTGTCGTATGGACGCAAACAAATAGTTTTGGGCATCCCAATTCTCAGGATTGTCCCACTGAGAGTTTGAGACACTGAGTTAGTGATGTAAAAAATACTCAAGCAGACCGGCTAGAAAATGCGATCAGTGGCAATCAATTCAAACACACGTGCATAACTAGTTTATACCATCCGAAAAAGAGGCTGTCAACTTATCAAGGTCCATAAAACCGAAGCAACAGATGAGCAGAAATCTTAAAAAAACCAACCTTCAAAAAGAGTCGTTTCACTTCAAAGGAAAATGAGGCAAATTCTCAAGATTGGTTAATCCTCAAAAAAGGTGTTCTTACTAGAGGATTTGCGGCCTGTGTAATTACTTTAAGCATTTACACATACCTCACCGTATAAAAGCATTTCGAATTTATTTTTCAACACATTTATTTTTTCACTAATTAAAAAAATTGAACAATGATTCAACGTCAACAAAAAAATAAACATCAAAACTAATTTCTCCATGTTTTGTATTTCAATCCATAAAATTACCCCACCAACCTGAATTTTTAATAGGAGCGGGGAAACGATGGGGGATACTCTGAAAAGATTTGATGTTAGTACTTAATGTCTTCAATAAATAAAAATTAAAAGAAGTTGTTGAAAATTGGATTGAAACATGAACAAAATTTAAAAATAGAAGTAAATATGTTTATTCTCCAAATAGGAATTATTGAGTCCTATTAAAAGTTAATATAAGCACTTGCAATAAGTTTCTTTTTACTGTTTCAACAAATCAGTAAGCACAAGATTATGAACCATAACTTGAGTTTCACAAATATTGGGACTTGAAATATAGTTGAATTATTTTTTCCAATAAAAAGCACTTCTGCAAACTGAAAAGTAAGCATTACCATAGAAACTAGCTAGCTTTTCTTGATATGTATTTCCAACCAAAAAATAATAAAATATTTAAATTAAAAAAATACACTTATATATAGAGAAACCTTTAAGTGTATATGTAAAGAAGTAGAGAATAAAAGGAGTAGTGAAATTTCAAACCATTTTTAATCCTATTTAGGACAATTTCTATTTTCCTTTTTTCCTTTCGTCTAACCCTTAGGTCCCTCACAATCTCAAAATACCCCTCTTCCTTCCCCATTTCTGGTCTTCTTATTCTCTATGTGACTTGTGGCCTCTCCATTTCGATGAAATAGACGCCAAGTAAAAAATACTTCCATTTCATTATCTAACCCATTCATTTTCCATATATGACACCAATGCGACCCTTCTCTCTTTACTACTTTCTCCATCCCATTTTAAGTTTTTTACTTGTCTTTTTTGAACATCCCAGCTAAACATTTAGTTTTCATTTTAAGGAATAATCATCAATCTTCAATTACAAAATGTTCATCAAACACTAAGAATATTTCACATACAATATTACAGTCATTATCAACAATCTCAGCTAGATTAAATGAACTTAGACTCCGAAACTCATGACTGTTGGGCCTCGACAACGACCCACACATGCTCGACATATAGCGTTTATATTATTGTGCACTTTGGTTTATTCATTTATATATATATTGGAATAGATTTTATATCATTTATTGGTCCCTTTATGTAATTGAGTCTAACAGGCCCAAACCTCGCAGTCCAGCCCATATTTCCCTTGAGACAATTTAGACTGTAAAGGGTTGAATTCATCATTTATATAATAATTTATAGTTTTATACAATTATAATCTATCATTTATGTTATACCTATCAAAACTATGTCCAAAATATATTCAAATGATCATATTTAATTATTATTTAAATAATAATGTCATTTTTTCATTGTGAGGCAGTAATAAGTTATGTACTTCTTCAGTACCATTTACAAGGCTACAAGGCCGCCCTTCTTTCATAGGGTACTTGGTGTAAATTCTCCAAGAAAATCAAATATAAAATGATGCTAAAGATTACTTTCTCCATCCCAAAAAATTCTTCCCGTTTTGACTTGAATCGGAATTTAAGAAAGTGAAAATGTATGATTATAGTTGAATAAGAAAAATGTAAATGAATTGTAGCCACACAAAACTTTCCAAAAAGAGAAATGAGAAGAATTTTTTGGGACGTCCTAAAAAGGTAAGTGAAAAGAATTTTCAGGGACGAAGGAAATAAATATTTATTTGGTCTCGAACGTACTTGAAAGTTTCAACCTTTGCATATTTGAAAGTTTTGCAACTTTTAGGGTTCATATATTTCAAATAACCGGGAACTTTGTAATTCCAAAGCTATGTACTTTTAGTAGTATTAATTTTAACCTGGTCATTAACTTCGGGACTCGCAAGATATCTCAAGCTAGAGGGCCCTCACACCAGCAACAACAAAAGTAAAGAATTAGGATGTTTTCTTTTGGACTGTTTTCAGTCTCAGACTTAAACAAACCAGACCATATCAAACTAGACCAACAAATTACAGCCCAAAAGAAAACATCCTTAAAGATCCGTAACAAGTCTAATAACCAATTTCACAACATGGGAATTCAACATCATATACATAATACATTGACAGCATATATGTACAACTTATCTGTACATGAATATAATGAAAACACCAACTTATTATGGTCAATATGGCACTGTACAATTGGTTTGTCATTAACAAGCGCAGATCTGAGTTTAAAGATTTAAGATTGAGAGGGACTCGATTTAATCTGCAATGGAACTTTAGCATATAGTTCATCAAGGGCATTGTACAATGGCTCAGCAGCCCTAGGTCTTTCCACCGTCCCAAGAAGGATATCAGCTGTAGTAAGATATGGATCACCGTAAAACTGAAGATTAGTATCCATTCTGGTTGCCACAATGTTTCCCTCTAGTGATACTCCAACAAATGCACCTAGGCCATTTGGAGAAATAAAAATGGTTAAAAACAAATTAACACCGTCCTAAAAACAAGCATTGTTTCAAGAACTTTGTCTGAAGAGAAGGGGTCCAAAGTTTCATGATATTAAAAGAACTTGCAATTTCCAGAGAATAAGAAGCCCTGAACAAGTTAAATATGTTAAATCTAGTCAAACAAACAAATTTAAAAACTGTAAGCTGGATTCATACTTATAAGAGTGTAATTACCAAAACAAAAAAGTGTACATTTGTCAAATATGATTATTGTTGGATGTTTGAACTCATCTGAGGTTTTAAATGGTTTTTGAGAATAAAAATTGGGGCATACCTTGGGGCTAGACTGCCAGAAAAGGCTTTTAGGTCCTATAGCCCAAGGATGAACATTAGGGCCTACTCGTTACTAGGGTGGGGGATTAGTTGATCTTTTAAGTTTCTGTTATATTTTTTATCGCAGCCCAATGCACGAAGACATCCCCGCAAGGTGAAGATCCCGGGAAGGGTCCCACCATAAGAAGCAAGTCTTCCCTGTCAATTTTTTGGCAAGAGGCTGCTCTTGAGACTTGAACTCGTGACCTCTCGATCACACAGTAAAACCTTAACCAGTGCGTCAAGGCTCTCCTTTTAAGTTTCTGTTATACTTCTGTATTTGGGCATTAATAGATTCTTAAATGTTTTAATGCTTTGGTTGACGCTTATACCTTACCACATGGTAGGGAAGGAGCGTTGTGTCTTATTTGGGTTCTTTTAAAACTAAGCAAACATAAAAAAGTATCTCCCTTTGACATTTCTTTTCCTTTCTGTGACACTGTATTGTGAATATATGATAAAGAAAAACACAAGAGCTAAATGAATTGAATTCATTTGGCACAACGAATGGCCACACTTACTTTTTCACTAAACCAACTCATTTTTTGCACAGTACATATGTTACCACTTAGAGTTTAACAATAATGCCTACAAAATTTCACAGGATAATGAGTGTGAGAATAATACCTTTACTACAGCTGTAAGTATAGCAAATCCCAGAACCCTTGTCTCCAGCACGCATATCGGCCTCCAAAACCCTTCCAATTGGGCCTGCAGCAACACTACACCCAGCTCCAAGAGAAAAGTGCATGCGGCTACAAAATGTTCTTACGGCTTTAGAGTCATGCAGCACAATAATGAAGTCCATGAGCTCGCCTCCAAACTACAACAGTTAAGGAAAAAACAAAGCTCAGCAGACCTAGTGGTGGCAAAAAAACCATTAAAGAATAACCGCCTAAAAAATCACACTCAATTTACGTTTAACTGTGAATTGTAAGTAAACTCTGTCAAGGTACAAACTTTTACAAATTATGAATAATCACTGACCCCTGGAACTTATTTCAAAGATTTTCTGAAGTAATTTACTAAATGCTCCTGCTGCTTGGCTTTACAGGAGTATTAATTAAATTTTAAGTTGAGTTCTAGAACTGACTCTTTTTTGGAGAAAAAAACATGCAAAATAATTTCTTGGGGAATCAGGGAATGAGGGAGTAGTCATGACTCATGATATATTTGATCCAACTCATCCATGTATATTACTACCCCCTTCAACAAAAACTCATGATACATCCATGAACAACATCTTATTTTGGTAAGGTAAAATTGCCATAAATCGCAATTTATACTTATAATACTTCTACTGTTCTACAGTTTATTTGTTAGGTTATCTAAGTTTATCATATACAACTTACCTAATACTTGATCTTCTGGAATCTTTGCTCACATTAACTTGGTCGGATCAAATTGGACTTTGTTTGGGAAAAAAGTGTTTGAAAGACATAGTATATTGGATGGCAATCGGTCCATCTATTTTTAACCCATTGGTTTACATCTTAAAATCCTCTAAATCCATCAAAAACATTGGATTTTTCATATTCACTCACGACTTATTTTACAGTTAATTACTACTAATGTGCAGAAGCGTCCTGTGTAATATGTCTCTAGGCGTAAAATGTATTAAGAAAATAGGAGTCGATCAATTTTGTGGAAAAAATAGTAATGGATTGGATGAATTTTATTAAATTGGTTATGGGTGGAGTGGATTTTTTATAAATATTTAATGGATCATAAATAGATT